TATCTATCTATCTATCTATCTATCTATCTATCTATCTATCTATCTATCTATCTATCTATCTGTCTGTCTGTCTGTCTGTCTGTCTGTCTGTCTGTCTGTCTGTCTGTCTGTCTGTCTGTCTGTCTGTCTGTCTGTCTGTCTGTCTGTCTGTCTGTCTGTCTGTCTGTCTGTCTGTCTGTCTGTCTGTCTGTCTGTCTGTCTGTCTGTCTGTCTGTCTGTCTGTCTGTCTGTCTGTCTGTCTGTCTGTCTTTATATCTATCTTTTGTTCTGTCTATCTGTCCATCTGTTATCTGTTATCTATCTGTCTGTCTGTCTGTCATCTATCTATCTATCTCTCTGTCTGTCTGTCTGTCTGTCTCTCTATCTTTTGTTCTATCTATCTGTCCATCTGTTATCTCTGTCTGTTACCTATCTGTCTGTTTGTCTGTCTGTCTATGTCATCTATCTATCTATCTATCTATCTATCTATCTATGTCTGTCTGTCTGTCTGTCTATCTTTTGTTCTATCTGCCCATGTGTTATCTCTGTCTGTTACCTATCTGTCTGTTTGTCTGTCTATGTCATCTATCGATCGATCTATCTATCTATCTATCTCTCTGTCTGTCTGTCTGTCTGTCGTTCTCTCTTTCTATCTTTTGTTCTATCTGTCTGTCCATCTGTTATCTCTGTCTGTTACCTATCTGTCTGTTTGTCTGTCTGTCTATGTCATCTATCTATCTATCTATCTATCTGTCTATCTGTCTGTCTGTCTGTCTGTCGTTCTCTGTCTGTTGTTCTCTCTATCTGTCCATCTGTTATCTCTGTTACCTATCTGTCTGTCATTCTCTGTCGTTCTCTCTGTCTATCTTTTGTTCGATCTATCTGTTATGTCTGTCTGTCTGTCTGTCGTTACGTTGTTCTGTCTATCATTACGTTGTTTTGTTATTTAGTCATCATTCTGTCTGGCTATTGTTCTTTTAAATTTAGCTATTGTTAGTTCTAATATTGTCTAACATTCTTATTCTGTCTATCATTCTGTCTGTCTGTTCTGTCTATGTAGGAAACATTAAACATTTGTCTTTTCAAACTTTGCTTTTCATAAAAAAATACAGTTATGTGGATTTCTTTGAGGTTCAGTTCATTTGAATTTTTCTTCCTTGCATTTAAATTTGAATTTCAAACGTGGCATCATGTCTGCTACCTCAATTCAAATTCAATTCTAATTTAGCAATTGGGTTATAATTTAAAAAGTCATTCTCAGTTAAATTCTAAATAGTGCAGAAATTACATTTATTGATGCCGTGTTGAATATAATCAGAATATATTTTTTGCTTTCAGTGAGCATTCAAAGTATTATTTGATGCTTGAAGCATCACATCCTTAGCTGAATCTGAATTTGTATACTGTCACAGAATGTACTACATACATTTGATGAAGAACTTACTTTTTGGCTGGTCAAAGTATGTTCTATTATTATGCAAGTGTGTGGCATGAATGCCATGTGTCCAGAAAGCATACATCTGATGTATACTTTTAAATCTTGGTAGAAGGTAATCTGGGTACTTTTCCTGCATTGAGTCATGTGTACTGCTCATTCAGACATACAGCACTGCATAAAAGTGTTTGACATACTACTTTTGAAATACTATAAACTAAGGAAGTAGACATACCGGGAAGCAGAGAGAGTATGTATATTTTGCGGTTCTGAGCCTCGTATCACACATTCAGCATTTTAGCCCAGATTCGCAACAGCTGAAACCCTTTTCAGTGACCGAGCTTTGTTTTCTCATTAAATACACCCATCCCGAGTTTCGCCTTATCAGAGTCGCTTTCTGATGCCCGTAGACGGTGTATTTGTTTACGGGCCAGTCGTCTGGAGTAATTTATCATTAGTTCACTGTTGTCATCTTCGGCAGAACTAAAGGTGATTCATCGTGCTCATTTTGCAGTATGAAGGCATGCTATCCTTCCCCTCGCTGCAGTCACCACCTGTGTGCCCCTCGTGCCTCCACGGGGAGTAAATCCTTCCTTACAAACACCCAATATGAAAATTAGATTTATTGTTGCACTGATATGCAAACCTGTGCAGATTGATGGAGGTCCGGGTTAAATAGTTGCATCATTGTTAAGCGTGCTGCTTTTTTGGCACGGGCTGCCGGTGAGCTGGGTGGCTAGTCGCTCTGATTTATGTCTCCTCTGCCTGCAAATTGCTTTTACTGCCACCCTGATTATTGTTCAGTGTCAAATAGATTACAGATAGTCCGAAATATCCTCAGATGCACAACTTGGAATGAGAAGAGCTGGTTTGCAACCAACACCTCTGTGCACCCGTCGATAAGTGATAATCATCAATCAATTAATGTGGTTTGTCTAAACAGGAACCTTGTTTCTCTCTCCAGATTGTGCTCTGCATGTGTTGTCATTTCTGACCTGCTAATATATCTCAGGATATGAGACTCGTTTTCCATAGGTGTGATCAGAAGTCGTGTCAAAATGATTGTCTTTGATAAATGCCGCAATCGGTTACGGGTAGAGTAGACCGTAATGACTCTTCTAGCACGACTTGACACGCAGGACTAAGATATTCATTTACCGCTTCATCAGTGTGATCTGCCGAGAGAACCCGCGCGTCGTAAAACTGGAGATGGATGCAAGTGCTGTGTAATAGGGTTTTTAGCCTCAGATTGCTGGATTTTAAGTTATTCCCACCCTAATGGCCTCGATTTCCTTTCTTGGCGCATTTGTGTGAGACCGAATACCACGTTTGTAGGCAAAGTTTCAGCCCGATAGACGTTATTTATTGTCCTTGAGCTCAATAAACTGGAATCAGTGTCATCTTTGGAATGAAAGTGGAATCGGTTACGATATTTATGAGTCGGGATTGTTTGTGCTTTGCTCCAAGACTGAATTATAACGTATTGTCTTTTTTGTCATTTTCAGGGTTGCCCGCAGATTCTGCCTAGCAGCGACATCCTGGTACCGGCGGGGATCATTCGGCCAATCACACTGCGAGCTCGGAACTTGCCCCAGCCTCAGTCGGGACAAAAGAACTATGAGTGCGTCTTTAAAATCCAGGGCAAAGTCCAGCGTATTCCCGCGGTCCGTTTTAACAGCTCCTGCATCCAGTGCCAGAACACTTCGGTAAGAGCACTTTGCTTCATTTCTAAGACAACAACTCTTTCACTTACGAACTGCACTTCAGTTTAGGAACACATGATGAATAGTGGATATTAATGCAGGAAAAATGGATTTTCTTTATAGCAGTGGCTTAATCTGAAGGTTCAAGTTGACATCCTTTAGCAATGGCAGAATTTCTTAAAGGAATAATTTACATAAAAATAATTGTTATTATTTATTCACCCTGATGTCAAGCACTGTTGTTTGGTTATTAGAGACTCGAGAGCCAATGGCATTTATTAATATCCTGGTTTCCATTCATATACACTACTGTTCAAATGTTTGGGGTCAGTACAATTTTGAAAGAAATTAATGCTTTCATTCAGCCAGAATGCATTATATTGAACAAAAGTGACAGTGAATACATTTACATTGCTGCAAAGCATATCTGTTTCAAATGAATGCTGATTTTGATCTTTTTATGCTTCAAAGAATCCTGAAAAATGAATCACGGTATTCACGCAAATATTCAGAAGCACAAACGTTTTCAGCATTAATAATAAGAAATGTTTCTTGAGCAGCATATTAGAATGATTTCTGAAGGATCATGTGACACTGAAGAATGGAGTAATGATGCTGAAAATTCAGCTTTGTCATCACAGGAATAAATTACATTTAAAAATGTATTCAAATAGAAAACAGTTCTTTTAAATTGTAATAATATTTCAGAATATTGCTGTTTTTACTGTATTTTTGATCAAATAAATTCAGCCTTAGTGAGCATAAGAAACATCTTTTAAAAACATTAAAAATCATTCCAAACCAAACTTTAGAACGGTGGCTTATTTTATGTGATTTTTGACATATTGCATAAAAAATTCTGGATGGGAACTTCTAAAATGTGCATTAAAACATTCACTTGCATATTCACTTTGCATCTTGCATGCCTTAATTGACTATTTTGTTCTGTTGAATATGAGATGCAAATGCTGTGAAATATTTTTTGTGATATTCCAATTGCTTGCATAAATTAAATTCACAGCTTGAATAGGAAAAATATCTAATTGCTCCCTAACTGTGCCGTATTTGATTATAAACACACAATGACTTAAATTTCAGTCTGTTTGCCACACAAATTTTTTTTATGCTGTTTTAGTTTTTGTGTGTGTGTCTTTTTTCGAATTAGAATGTAAATGATCTTTTTGAAGATTATGTACTTTCTGTGGTAAGCAGAAAAAAGAACAAAATGACAGCATATGGGTTTGGAATGACATGAGGGTGAGAAAATAATGACGGAACTGTTATTTTTGAGCGAACTATTGCTTTCAATATATCCTAAACAGCAAGCATGTCATTTATTAATCAGCGTATTTTTCCAAGCGTAGCCTCACCCCAGATGGCATTTGAATAATTGTCATACGAGCAGATGCATTGTTTTCTCTCATTATATTTAGCTTTGTGACATTATTTTTCCATTAAAAAAATTAGCATGATCTGCAAATCGTCGCTTGTAGGGCAAAGTGGTGGTGATGAATTTGTCTGAAGTGTGCTGAGAAAGCCAAGGTGACTTCTCGCTGAATCACTGATCATAAAAAAATACGAATCTTTATCTGGGTAAATCGGCAAAGACATCAATTTATAATGCTGAAAGTGTTGTTTTCTCAATCCCAGTGAAAAATGGAGCATGTCAAGATGTTGACATTGAGAATCTCTCTCTCTCTCTCTCTCTCTCTCTCTCTCTCTCTCTCTCTCTCTCTCTCTCTCTCAGGGTACTTGACATGCTTTTTGAAATAGAAGAACTGGATTTTTCTTTTTTAAATCAAGAGGTGCTTAAATTACTCCCTGCTGCAATCAAGTAATGATATTGTTCTTATTTACTCACCGATGCTAATTTTCCCTCGCATTTGGCACTTTTTATCACAAAAACAGAACAAAATGACTAAACACTCAATTAAAATGAAATTGGAAAATTTAAAAATAAATTCAAAATATGAATACAAACTAACAGTAATCTAATGACACTGGTTCATACCTAGGGTTGGGTATCGAAAACCGGTTCCATTTTAGAACCGGTTCCAAATTTCCAAGAACCGGATATTCGATAAGACGCGTGCATTTCAATTCTGCTTAACGATTCCTGCGCTCGCATTTTAATGTGATTAAAAACGATTTAGGTGCAGGAACGGAAAGAACTTACG